ATATTTATATTTAATCATATCTTAATTTTATTTACGATAAAAATGAATTTATATCAAAGATTGGAAAATTGGCGGATGACCGCACTTCGAATAGTTGCTTGAATATTTAATTGTTTTTATTTTATTTTATTTTTATTTTTTATAAAAATTAGGGATAGATAAAAATGATCATAAAAAGGACGATAATCAAGATGTTTACATTTTATAGTTTGAAAATTCTCTCTCTACGTCTACATACATTTAAATAAATCATAATACCCTTTAATGAACCCCAATTTTTTGCAGGGTATAAAAATGGATTATTTTTGTTTCATGTTATTACTACGCACCGATTGCACACATCTGTATAGTGAAATAATTTTGGAATTTCGCGCATTCTTTCGCTCGCAATATCATTATTTATACACATCATAAATCTTTGTTTGCACATACCGATCGGGTAAATCCTTAAGAGCAGAGTCCAAGATCTCGGGCGTTTTGTCCGTGCCTTGGGGCAAATTTTTGGCCAGCTCCTCAACGAACTTCTCCTCTGGGATTTTCTCCTCCTCTGAATCGACCTGCAAACATTTTATCAGAGCCAAACAGCCACTCAATCATCAAAGCGATATATAGAAATTAAAAAAATTGAGACTGTTCGAATTCAAAGTCCAAAGACGTCGGGTAATTTATGTATATAGTATTGCGCAAAGTATAATCGGAACATTTGGACAATTTATCCAAGTTTATTGTTGTTTGGCGCTGGTTGGTTGTTTCAGTGGCGTGTTTTGTTAGTATGTCGAAAATTTGGCGGGAGTGATAAGAAAGTTGCAAGGCTAGTTGGAGCCTATGCCTGGGGTCTTATCATTATCATAGAGACAAACAGAGGAATCATATTGTCAAAGCACGTCTCTGAGGTCGATGGGTGGTTGCTAGGTGGTTGGGTGGTTGTTAGGGACGCTTCCGTAATGGTCACTTAATTGGATTTGTTTGCAATACACCGGGGTCTTTGTTATTGTCACTTCTGTCTGTGTGTGGGTGTGTGTCCATGTATGTATGTCACAGTTAGATTTGTGTATGTAGTATATTTGTTATTGGTTTTTCTCCACTTGCGTCCGCTCTCCTTCTCATTTTCTCAATACACACACTCTCTCTCTCTCTCTCCCACTCTTGATGTCTCTCTGGATGGCGCTCTTTTACCACCTGCTCGTGCGTCAGAGAATAACAAAAACACTGCACACAATGTAAGGCACACGTACAAACATACGTGTATATAGTAGATATCTTGTTGTATTGGTATACATAAAATTCGCTTTTTTTGTATGCGCTTCAATGAATTATGCAAATTATGGAATGCAACTACTGAATACACGTATCCACCGATAAATGTAGATATTTTCAATCTGAATTGACCTGGATAACTTACATGATCTGAAGAATCAGCTGCGCTGTTTGCGGCAGTCAGAGCCGCAGCAGCCTCGTCAACATCGTTTTCTGCCTTTCTGCGTCGCACTTCGGCCATGTTTATGCTTCGGCACGCTCTACAAATTTATTTTAAATGCCAATCGCTTTTTCCTTAATTGCAGTTGACGCGCAGTTGTAGTGCTGCATAAACAAGAACTTAAAATTTAAATCGTCCGTTTTCTGCTTCTACACAACACACATACAAGCTATTACTACAATATCAATTAAAGCGGTGTGACCGGGTATACAAATGTTTGAAATGTGATATTTTATCAACAGCTGTACCGATAGACTACAAATTCGATGACAGTTTGCGTTCGATACTAATTTGCACTGTACAGCACTGTTTTCCGTCAATTTCTATGTGTATGTGTGACCGGCGGCGTCATTATATTTTGCATTGCATTAAGTGAGAAATCATCAAACAAAATATAAATAATGGCTGCAGCAATTGATGGTGTCCTGCCCGCTACGTTGCAAGAATTGGTCAAGAAATCAAAAGTATTAGTAGTAGGCGCTGGCGGCATTGGCTGCGAAGTGCTCAAAAATCTTGTGCTCAGTGGATTTACGGATATTGAAATTGTAAATTGAATTTGAAATTTCAATTCTTTTCCTTTAACTATGAGTTTTATTGTGCAGATCGATTTGGATACGATTGACTTAAGTAATCTGAACCGCCAATTCCTTTTCCATCGCGAACATGTAGGCAAGTCAAAGGCGCGTGTAGCACGTGAGAGCGCCCTCAGCTTTAATCCTGATGCAAACATTACGGCTTACCATGACAGTGTTACGTCGTAAGTATTATGCAGTGTCCTTCACATCCATAGGGATCTCATTTATCTGTTTGCTTTGCAGCACTGACTACGGCGTTAATTTCTTCAAGAAGTTTGATGTGGTGCTCAGTGCGTTGGACAATCGCGCGGCGCGAAACCACGTAAATCGGATGTGTCTCAATGCAGATGTGCCGCTCATCGAGAGCGGCACCTCCGGCTACAATGGTCAGGTGGAGTTGATTAAGCGCGGTTTGACCCAGTGCTACGAATGCACACCCAAGGAGAAGCAACGAAGTTTTCCCGGCTGTACCATACGAAACACGCCCTCCGAGCCCATTCATTGTATTGTCTGGGCCAAGCATCTGTTCAAGTAAGTTTAGCTCATTGTTTTCAATTAATTGCGTTAATAACAACAAATTGTTTAGTCAACTTTTCGGGGAGTCAGTTGAGGATGAAGACATCTCGCCTGATGCAGCTGATCCGGAGGCACAAGAAGCTGCAGCTGAAGTTAAGGATCCTGGTGCCGCTGGGGATGCTCCTGATGGGCTAAAGGAAAAGGAAACAGAGCCTGCCACCGCCAATGGCAACATCGTTCGCATCAATACTCGTCAATGGGCCAAGGATTGCAACTACGATGCCGGCAAATTGTTCAACAAGTTCTTCAACGAGGACATCAACTATCTGTTGCGCATGTCGAATCTATGGAAATCACGCAAGGCGCCTGTGCCCGTACAATGGGACACGCTATTGGTTGACGGCGCCGGCTCTAAGGGGCCCGAGCTTGCGCGTCAGACGCACAAGATTTGGTCACTAGAGGAGTGCGCACATGTCTTTGCCAACGCGCTCAAGGAGCTGAGCGCTGCTTTTCTTAAACTGGAGGGCAACGACACATTGGTGTGGGATAAAGACGACCAGCCAGCTATGGACTTTGTCGCAGCTTGTGCGAATGTGCGTTCTCACATCTTCGATATTGAACGCAAGTCACGATTTGAAATTAAGTCAATGGCAGGAAACATTATCCCTGCCATTGCTACGACCAATGCGATAACTGCAGGCATCTCGGTGCTTCGTGCTTTCAGCGTGCTGCAGGCTAAGTGGGAGCAGTGCAAGGCTGTATACGCTCGACTCCGACTCAATGGCCGCAATCAATTTCTGGTGCCGGACGCCTTTTTCCCGGCCCCAAATCCTAACTGTTACGTGTGCGCCAGTGATCCAGCCATTACGTTGCGCATCGATACGAAACGCGTCCAAATTAAAGCATTCCGCGACGAGGTGCTCATCAAGACGTTGAACATGGTAAATCCAGATGTGACAGTCGAGTCCACTGGCTCCATTCTCATATCCTCGGAGGAAGGCGAAACTGAATGCAATGAACAAAAGCTGCTGAGTGATATGAACATCGTCGATGGCGTTATCTTAAAATGCGATGACTTCTTCCAAAGCTATGAACTCAGCATTATCATCTCGCACTTCGATGCGGAAAGGGACGATGTCCTATTCGAAGTGATTGCCGATAAAAATCAACTCCAGCCCAAAGAGGAGAAACCTGAAGAGCCCGAGGCGGAGCCAAGCTCTCGTAAGCGTGCAGCAAATGGTAACGATGCGACAGACGATGGTCCTTCAACCTCGAAGCGAAGTCGACCAACGGAGGTAGAGGATGACGATGATGACTGTCTCGTTGTTGAGGATGATGATGATGCTGAGGAGAAAGTGCAGGAGAGCGTTGAGGATACAGTTGCGGCTGCAACAAATAAACTAACGGTAGATTGCCCACAGAAAACCGCAACAAAACGAAAGCCTAGCAAGACGTTGGATGATGAGGATGTTGAGGACATAACTGAAATATTAGATTCTTCGGATGAAGAAGTTGTCGGTCCCACTAAATGCAAACGCACAAAGCTAGAGGAGACAAGGGCGGGCGAAGTAATCAATATCGACTAATATTATTAGTAAAGCGATTCCATGCAATTCTCAAAAATAAAATAAACAACTCCAACTGAATTTTATCAAAAATAAAACTGCTATTTTTTAAAAACAAGACCATCTAAATTAAATGCGAACCAGTTCAGTTTATTCTCTTCCAACTCGAATAGTGAAAGAAGTGTGAATGGTTGGCAACGCGGAGAGCAGTTCAATTTCGATACTCTGGCAACTCTAATGTAGGTGAAGGTGCGTGTTTGTGTAATTATTGGAGAAATATAAATTAAAACTTCCTTTACAGATGTCTTTTACTAGTAAACTGCTACAGAATACTACACGGCTATGGAATGGCATCAACGCCTCACGTGGTTTCCATGTGTTGATGCGGCCCACAGTCAATGCCACAACAACCACAACGCCGGTTCACAATACAACTGGTCAGCAATTGGTGCCCTCAACTAATCTAGTATCATCCCTTCTGGCGCCTTTTAATGCATATGTCCAGCAAGTGGCAGGATTTAAGGTGAAGGGTCGTTTAAAGCGGCGCTGCAAGGATTGCTACATTGTGGTACGTCAGGAGCGCGGTTATGTCATCTGTCCCACGCATCCGCGTCACAAGCAAATGTCAATGAAGAAACGTGATTACAAGTCCTGGATCCTAACGCACGCCACACAATCCAAGGAGAGGGGCTATTAATTCATAATATATTTATGTGTAAATACCCAATAGGTTTTTATTGACTTGAATAAAGTAATGTGTTGAATTAAGGGCGTTGTTATTACTTTATATACTGTAATGGTAAAGCCTAGTTTGCATAGAACTTTTACGCATTTAAATCAATATATTTCTAGCATCAGTGGGCTAGAAAAACATAAAATTTGTAAACAAAAATTAAAATATTCCATTGCTTTTTGTATTTTCGTAGTGTTGCAAGACATTACTCAACACTGGTTAACAGCTGGTGATTTGTTTATCTATAATTTTTGTTAGCCGCAATTGCTTTGCAGCTTAATTATCTAGAGCTGGTATCGAACTAACGCCATTCGAAACTCAGTTGACGTCAGAGAGAGTAATTTCTGGTGCATTACGGATAAATCGAAGTATTTTCGCCAGCTCTTGCGGCAATGACGAGCCATTTTATAAGCGTGTTGCGCCAGGCCTTCAAGACTTTCGACCGCGCCAATCTTGCCAGCTTCAATGCCAATTTGCAGCTTCTGAAGCAGTTAACTGATGAGCTCACTTATCGTGATCTACATATCAAGGAGGAGCTATTCCGTGACGATGCCGCGAATGTAACCCGTGCACCATGCAGCTATATGCACATCTTCGAGGATGAGCGCTTCTCCATGAGTTTATTCATTGTGCGCGGCAGTAATTCAATTCCACTGCACGATCATCCCATGATGTACGGCCTGCTGCGCTGCATCTGGGGCAAGTTGCATGTGCAGAGCTACTCCCAGAAGCTGGCCGCCGATGAGATGGTTCAGTATGAGAAGAATCCAACAATGGTCAAAGTAATCGCTGAGGAGCCCAGCCTGGTGACTGCCGAAACATCTAGCGCCTTGTTAACGCCACGCAAACGCAACTATCACCAGATTACCCAGGTCGGCAACGGGATTGCCGCCTTCTTCGATATACTTAGTCCTCCATACGATGCCAATATGCCGAAATATGGTCCACGCCTTTGCCGCTTCTATCGCCCCAAGTCGGATGGCGACGAACTGCAGTTGCAGTGCATTCCGTCGCCCTCCAGCTACTATTGTGATTTAACCCCAACTCCCAAGTCTGTGCTGAAATGTTGCTTCATCTGTGCCGCCGAAGTTTATGGTGCCACCGTCACCGACGTTCAGTGAATTATATCCTTACAAAATGTATCCTTAAATGTATCCTAAAACTTAATTTATTTCCATTAAACGTGAACATCACGTGCTGCATACCAGTAGGATCCGCATGATTAAGCATTTTCTGTGTTATTTAAATAAAATTGCCTCTTTTTTTTAATATCGACTTTCAATTGGTTAGGGATCTAGACAATTAAAACTTAAACTAACAAGGTCGAGGTAACATTCGTCCGTTAATCATCTTCCTCAGCTTGATATATGCTTTGATTTCGTCTCTTAAGTTTCTTGATATTGGGACTAGTGCGAATGGCTGGAGTCTCTTCAACTTTTGAATCCTCGATAGTGGGCATCGCCAGCTCTTCGTCGACTTCATCGGGTAGCTCGATGACATTTTTGTCTGGCTCGACTGCTACAACTGGCGCTGGCAGCGACATATTTAGTTTACGTTTCGGAGGCGTGGCCACATGCTGGACTATTGTGGGAACATCCTCCATAGACTGCTCCAGATTCCCTTGATCCGCTTTGATGTCGGTAGAGCTGTCCAGCAAGCTGGCAGTTTGTGGCAAATCCTTTCCACTAGCCAGCATGGCCAAGCAGAGCGGATCATCGATGCCCAAAATGGAGCAGAATTCATTGGACTGGGGATTCAGCAGTGGATTCGCCTGCTCAATGTGCGTCTGCTTATAATTGTAGTCCTCATCCGGATCGAATGGAGGCACAGTGCGGCAAAAGTTCTCGGGCACTGAAAGGCTTTCGAATTTAGCGCGTATGTGCTCCAGCTCCTCGTCAGTGGGCGTGAAATTGCAGCGCTCTTCGATGGCGCCTGCCTTCTTGCCAGGCAAATAGTAATTATTATCTTTCACAGAAATCAAATGATTCGTTGTACGCAGTATCGAAAGCCATTCGGCATCATACTCTAGCGACAATTTGCCTTCACTATTATCGTTAGAAGGCATGTCCAGTACTTGTAGGAAGCGTCGCCTTGGTAGACATTTGTCTAGAGCCAAGAACTTGGTTACAGGTACTGGTGTTGCTGGTACATTCTGTCGCGCTGTCCTGCTGCCATCGTTGTCTTCATTTTCGTTCTCACTTTCGCTACTGCTGCTGCTGCTGCTACTTTCATCACCGGGATTATTTCTCTTGATATGATTTCTAGTGTGTGGCACCAGCGCAGCGAATTTGCAATGTAAATGAGCAGCAAACCAATATGTAGGTTGCAACGCCTTTAAGAGTTCCTCGAGTGGACGGCTTCCCAGCTGCCCGCTTTCGATGTCTTCCGTAAAATGTGGCTTAAACCGTAGCAGTTGAGCCTTGTTGCCATACTCCTGTATTCCCCTGGGCCAGTCATGTGACATGAAGATGTCCACTTTGCCGGAAAGTTGTTTCAGGCGGAACACCTCCAACTGCCTCACATGGTAGACGCTGCGACATGTTTTGTCGGTGTATGGCGGGAATTCGTGGTGACCGCGCAAAAAATCGTGGCCCTTGTATATGCCGCTGATGCCCGCAATACGAATACCATTTACCCTGACAACGCCTGCATATCCAAGGTAATATATATTAGGCGCTACCCAACCTCCATAGGGCAGCTCTTGTAAATAGTTGGACGCTTCGTGGTTGCCACCAATAAATATTGTCAGAATGGGCGCTACAAGTTCCCCGCTGTAATATCTGTAAATAAGTTGATTGATTAAGTGTTGCACGCGTTACAAGCTTGGCTACGCACTTGTAGAAGGTGCACATGTCCATGTACTTCCTTGGCACAGCCATTGTCTGTAAGTCCGCAACATTGCGCGTAGATTGAAAATCCCCGCAGCACAAGAGCAGGTCGATTTTTATGTTTTGCTCCTTTTCGATGCCTTCAATGGTTTCATATATGCGCTCCAGTTCGCCATGGGCACAGCCTTCAATAGCAATTTTCATATCGGCGCCTTTTTAGTTTACGTTCACAAAATATAAACAAATGCGGCATGAATGCATTCGCTCTCACACGTGAATGGCAAACCCAAAAGAATATTTATCAGTCTGCCTCCACAATACTGTGCATACTAAAATAAGCATGACATCACATTTCACAACACTTAAATTTGAGGCTCAATTTAAAAAAGCTCATGGCTCAGCGATTTACCATGGAAACAGTAATACTTGTAAACAAGAAAATCAAATTAAATTCAAACGTTAAAAATGTTTTTATTTTTCAAAAATATCGCTTCGTCTATTACGTTATATAAGTGTGTGTAAAGACAATGTAAGTGAAATGCTCTACATTGAATTCTCATTCTCTGACCACTTCACGCTGGAGTGTGTATGATCCATGCTTAGCTGGGCGCGATCTCATTCTATGAGACGACTTTTAAATAGTTTTTCTTTTTAGTTACATACAATGATATACAATAGACTTTCAACTTAAGTTACTATAATTTAGTTGGCATGGAATTGCCAAAAATAGAAATTTAAAATATAAATCTACAATAAATATAAAGCGATCACCCTACCCATCCATCGCTCAACCGATCGATGCATGCAACACGTGTAAATGTGTGAATGTGTGTACATAAAATATGTACGAGAATCTATAGATTGCCTCAACAGCCGTCATATCAAGTGCCAGCTACTATTTAGTTATTTCGATTTCCTTTTTTTTTTTTTCGTTATGGAAAGAATATGAGAAACAATGAAGTCAAAAGAAAAGCGTACTAATAAGTCGGTGTCCCACAGTCAATTAAGATCCGAACTTAAATGATGTCGGCACGGTGGTCTGAGGGAAGGCGAACCCGCCCTGTTTCTCAATTAGTTTCGATTCCTTGGCCGCCTTTCGCTGGTCGGCGGTCAAAACGACCTCCTGCAGCGCTTTGGCCTGTTCAGGTGTTAGGTTCGATGTTAGCAGCGAATACCATGACTGGTCTTGGGTAGAAAGTGCTAAAAATGCAGAAGATATATAAGTAATCAATTATTTAGATATATGAAGCATTGTTTTGATTTACCAGTTATAACTTCCTTGAACGTCCAATATTCATCAATAGCACTGTCGTTTTCTTCATCGTCAATCGGCGTGGTGAATGTTTCGAGACCAGTTTCATTCAAATCGCCAACGGACTCTTCCGCTTCATCATCAGAATCCTCATCATCGTCTTTGATTTCGGCCTTCACCTCAAAACCAGATGCGGCACCTTTCGTTTTCGAGAACTCGGCTAACTTGTCCAAGTAATTGGGTGCCATCTCATCCATTTCATCCTCATCGCTTGATAGAGCCTCTGTACACAATAATTAATGTTAGTTTTACATGAAATTGATTTTCAGTCTATATTTTCGATCTTACCCTCACAATCATCGCCATCCTCTTCCTCTTCTTCCTCTTCCTCCTCCTGAGCACGAGATTCGTATGCTCGTTTAAGCCCGTCGAACAGCAATATCAGCGATGGTACAATCTTACCCGCCACTTCACTAAGCACTTGAGGTTTGGCATCGCCTAGTGAAATGAGTGTACACAGACCCAAGACACACAGCTTGCGATCGTGTATTCTACACAAATATATTGGTAAGTTTACAATTGGAGTTCGTAGAGTAGTAGTTGTAGTGGTTCACATACCCAAGGAAACAGTCTGTATCGTGCAGCCATTGCTTAATGAAATGCGAGCTAATTGGTTCGTTGTTTGGTTGCGACATTTTGTCCAGAATCGAGAGCAGTAGCTGTGGGTTGTAATATAGGGCTGCAATGACCACCTGTAGGCACATAGTACGCAGCTCGGATGACTGCACCTCGCGTGTCAAACGCGACAGAGCTAACTCCACAAACATGTGTATCACCGAATCAATTTGTCCCTTACACTGCAAGATAATGACCTCCATCAATTTTGCAGCATGACATTCGGGATCCTCGCCAGGATTGCTAGTTAGCATCTAAATAAAAAACAATTTGAATAACATAAAACATGGCAACGTTCTCAAATCAGCTTACAGTTTTGCACATGTCCAGTATGGCTAGGAGACGGTTCGGATTGGAGAGGAAAGCTGGCGTATCAACGGTTACATAGTTATGCAGCGCCGGCATAATGTCAATGAAGTAATCAACGCCATCCTTCTTGAATACTTGATAGATGAGCTCTAGCATTTGCCACATTTCAGCCGAAATGGACTTCGATGTCAAATCGTACACAAGTGAGAATGTTTCCTCATAGAAATCTGTGAAATGTTCAGAATAGAATCAACACATCCTTCACGTTTGGGAGGATTAGCTTACCGGTAATGTTTTGCTGGAATATGTGACCCACAACGTTAATCACAATCGGATGCAAGTTAAGCAGCACTTCCGGATGTTCCTCCATAACGCTAAGCAGAGTTTCTATTGTATTCAACAGGCCCATGGCCGTAATGGCCTTCTCATCAGATCCCTCTTCAGATTCTAGCACTTGACTAAATGTTGTGGCTAGATGTTGACAAATTTCTGTTGCAACTGGCAGCAGTTGCTCCGTGAATGTGCAGACAATCTTCTGCATGACGTTTGTCAAGTCTTCGTTTTCAGTTTCGCGTATGATGGTCAACAGCTCCTTGGTAATCTCTTTGATTTGTGACTCCACATATTTTGGTGCTTCGTCTTGAGATGATAGGAACATTTGCAGGCCAATGGCGGCTTCTACCTTAACGGGAAGCTCTTTATCCGTCAGCAAAGCGTTGGTGGTCAGGCGCATTGTCTCAGCTAGCACTTGGGGGTTCTTGATTTGCACATCGCAGAAGTAGTGCAAAACCCAACAGGCACGAGCACGCATATGACCAGCGGGATTCTGGAATTCCGGAAACACATAGGTGGTCAGCATGGACTCGACCTGATCACGATAGAGCGCCTTCTTCAATAAAACATCCGCCAGTGTACCAATCATATGAAGTGCGCCATCCTTTTGCTTGTTGTCCGCATTGGGTGAGGTAATTATTTGCATTATTGTGCTCATCGCTTTAGGCAGAATGCCCTTACGCTTCTTACAGACGGAATGCAGCAGCGACTGGGCAGCCGGTACAGGTGTCGCGTAGTCCTCAAAGATATCTTATAGGAGAGGATATATGATGAGTTAAAGAAATATAAAGAATGTAATTCTTTGGTTGCTTACCAAATTTGAGGCGAATGTATTCATAGGGATCGCTCTCCCATAACTCCTGATCAGAGTC